CTTCAGAGCAGCTAACTTGATCCGGCTGGCACCTGGATACCAGAAAAATCCTCCCAGTCACACTCTTTAACTACACAGTAACAAAAATCGAACAGCTGATGACTACGCCTCACACATCCTGTAGGGGTTGCGAGGAATTTGAAGGGGTAGCCTACAATATCCCATTTTTCTCAGTCAATAAAACATAGCCAGTGTTCCTTGCACCTAACTCCGACAGTCTTTTAATTGATTTTTGTCTAGAGTCATTTCTTGTGTCTATACTAGACATTTTTTTCCATAGCTTTGTGCTAGGAAACACTCTGACATAGAGCAGAATTATAAAAATATTTCGATCTCAGGGAGGTTGAAACTGTGACCAAGCTTGGTAAATAGCTCAACAAAAAGGGAGAAAGCTTCTGAGATACTGAAATACTTCAACATTTAAAAAGAAAGGAGCTTTCACACTCATTTTTTGTTTAATACTTGACCTAGAAAAATAACATTATACCCAAGTCCCCGTGACCATGGCTGATGACACTGCCGTTCATGAGAATGGCTTTCTCATATATTTTCTCTCAAGACTCCTCACTTGTTCAATACCTGGAATAAACAGCACCTAGCGAATCTATAGATGTTTTGTTTTCTATTTCTCTCTCGCTGTTCAGTGTTTGGCTGTGCATATTCTTGTTTTTCAAACTCTGGCTCTGAAGACACCGAGTTACTGGGGCCTGGTTTTCTATCACAGGCAGCGCGGCAGCTTCTACGCGCAGGAAAAAGGCAGCACGCTGTCTGCTCTGCTGAAACGGGTTTTTCTTTGCACAGTTCTCTCTTTTTTTTTTTTTTTTTTTTTTTTTTTTTTTTTTTTTTTTTTTTTTTTTTGCGGGTACTTCTAGATGATCTACATTTATATTGTTATTTTCCATCCTGTATCTCAAATCATTTTATAGACTTCACTTAATACTAATGTGTAGCCATTTCATGAGTGGGACATGGCAGCACACAAACTTTAGGTCTTAGGAAGCTTAACTGGAACTCACATAACTTTTTTTTTTTTCATCGGGAATGCTTTTTTTAAAAAAAATATATATATGTAGTGTCCTACTATCATATAATGCATTTTTGTAATCACACATTCTAGACTTAACTCTCTCAATTTTTAGATAATACTGACAGACATCCTCTTCAAAAATGCAGAGTCCCCTGTCAACTTTATAAGCACCTAGCCCATGTGGTACCCTATTTTTAGGACTCCTCAGCCTTTGTCTAACTGCTGCGGATAGACTGAGCAGCAGAGCACTCATTTCTGCTAGTGAGAGCACACTAAAAGATACAGCTTTTGTTTTGCTTAAAATAAGGCATTGGGAAATAGGACATATAAATTGATGTTATCTTGCCATTTTAATAACCTGACACAAATTGAAAATTCTGAACTTGCTGGAGACAGAGTGGTATTGTGCTGTTCGCAGGAAGCAGAGTCAGCTTCCTTACAGTCAGCTTCCTTACAGGAGGGTTAATCCATCAGACGTGAAGAAATGTTTGAAAATGTTGAGAAAGTATTTGGAAAAATGTAAGGACAAAAATGTACCTTTATAGCATATATCAATGCTTGCAGCTAATAAAAGTGAGTAGGTTATTTTATAACACCTGAACTATATTTTTAGTCGTAAAATCTCATCTCAAAATGGTATTTAAATTCAAAGTGAAATAGCTTCACAGGCTGACTAGTATTTAATTAGCTACTGGATGATTATTCTTTTTTAATGTTTATGTTCATGGTTAAAGTCATGATGCTTGCATGCTCCGATTCTGCAAAAATATCTATCACCTGGTGAACAAAGGGCAGATAATATTTGTTAAGTGTGGAAGTTCTTTCACTCTTCTCAAAAACTGCTCCGGGTCACAGCAGCTTTATCTACACAGTTCTGAAAACATCGAAATTGTGTCTTCCTGCTAGCATGTGGTTTTATATCAACCTCATTTTTTTTCTGTATGGCATAATCAATGTGTTACTGGACACATCAGAGCAGATCGGACCTGTGTGGTACCACAGCACACAGCACCACTTTGAAAGAGGAGAGTTTGTGCCTCCGTTTCTTGTCCAAACCCATGAGAAGATTTGGCTCTGGAGGCCCTCAACAACATGAATCCCCAGCATTGTCTGGAGTCTGCAGTTTGACTAAATAGTCTGTTCTTTCAAACAAAACCTACCATGGAAATTCTGTTGTTTAAGAGCTTAATCACTTAGTTGGAAATACCTAAGTGTAAGGTTGGGCAAATTACAAAAGGAAGTAAAATACAGGTTTGAATTGTTAAAGATATTTCTATGGCCAAACAACACATTAGCATAACTTGGTCCACAGTGGGGTTTTTTACCTTACAAAAATATATCCATCATCTGAATATTTCACCGGGGCTTTTAACTGCTGTGCTGGAAAGAAAGAAAAAGGAGTGAGAACCATATCTCAACTTGGATGGGGGCACTTATCTCTCAAAACAGGGCCAGGGCAAAGGCTAAAGCTCAGAAGAGCAGGTTACCCTGCAGTTATGCAAACACAGAGCAGAGGATTTGGTGCTCTCTGTTCTGTAGATAAGCACAGTTTCTCAAGTGTCTGATATTTTTGACAGATTTTTGCAAGTGCGTAGAATAAGAATAAAGCACATTTAAATGAGAAGGGACACATTTGTGTTTGTTTTGTTCAGATATAAGTAACAAAATTTGCAAGGTACTAGAGAATGAGAAGACAAGCTTTTAAAAACCTCCTCAAATTTTAAAGTGGAATTCAATCTGGAATGGGAGGGAGACATTGTGAGGTATGAATCTGCTAACACTTTTTCACCATTTAAGTGTTTTTTATTTTCCTTCTATATCCAGTCTTTTATAAGCCCAGCACAGAGAACCTCATGAAAATCAAAAAATGGCAAGGCCATCTTTCTTTCAAGCTCTGAAAAATGTGTGGTAATAAGATCACCTATTAGAAGCAGGTGATGTTTGAAGTCATATATCTAAACTTGCTGTAGGGAAGGCGTTTCAGGTTAAAAAAAGACAGAGGGACCTGGTCTTGGAAGACTTTGTGCTCTACAGTCATCTACTCTGATGCTAATTTTCTTTTGAGTTATTATCATCGATGTGCTTCTCATTCTACCTAGGCCTGGATGAGAGATGAGCCATTTAAAAAGGATGGAAGAAAAGGAATGCAGAAACCTTATGTCTTGCATAAGCTGTCTGTTCTGACCTGCTATATCTTTCTTCGGTTATGTTGGGCATTTGTGGATGTCTGTGCTATATGGCACAAATATTTAAAGGATCAGAAGATCGTCTCCAAAACTGTTTTTTGCTAACCCAGACCTGTGTTACAATCTTTTGTTCACTAGGTGCAAAAATTTGCCTGTTTTGATTTTGCTGATATAGAAATGTTGGAGTAGGAAACAAAGTCAATTTATTCTCTTTATATTGCACGGTTGTGTCTACCCTTTTCAATGGATATTTTGCTCAAATTGTGTGTTTAATTGAAATAAATTAAGTCCATCTGTTCGTAAACTGATTGCATCAGTTTCCCATGTAGGTGATTGGCCATCCCAAGTACCAAGAATCCAAAAGAATTGCAATCTTCCTGAGCATGCCAGATGAAATTCAGACAGAAGAAATCATTAAGGACATTTTTGAGCAAGGCAAAGAGTGTTTCATCCCACGTTACAAGCCTCACAGCAACCACATGGACATGCTGAAGTTGTCATCAGCTGAAGACATTTCTTCACTTGCTTTGACATCCTGGAATATTCTTCAGCCTAGTGATGATGACAGTGCAAGAGAGGAGGCTCTTGCTGGTGGTAAGTATTTTCTTCCTACATTGTGGGGTTGTTGAGCCAGAGTGGCCTAGAGGACAGTAGGAAACAATCTGACAACAAGAGTGAAATGAAATGTTACACTTTGGTTTTATATGCTGTAGAGGTGATTAAGTCAATGTAAGCAGATGCTCCTTTTTCTTGCCTGTTTTTCTCTACCCTGTGCTACCCGTGTGATACACCAGCAGGGCAGGAACACAGCACAGCTGATCCAGCTGAAGGAAACTCAACTCTCCAGATAAATCAGCTTCTTAGTCTGATTAATGAACATCCTCACTGCAGTCTCAGCAAGCATAACATGGAAGCTCATGCAGGAGACAGGGGCTTGCCAGGAGTGGCTTAGGCTGCCATTGAAAGTCATGGGGATTCACAGTTTTAGGATGCACTCTGAGAACTTTAGTTTGTGCCACCTGAAAAGTAGGGGACTTTTCAGGTAAGGCCTGTAGGCTGACAAGAATTTCCTGAAAACTTTGATCCTGCAAATTGTATTGCATGGATGAATCACAGTGCTGAAGAGCCTGTCCATACAGAACAGCTCTCCAGACTGAGACCTTAGACTGAAAATAAAAGGACTTTCTTGTAGGCCTGGATGAATATTGTAAAGTCTTTTCCATCATTATTCTCTCACATTTTTATTTTGATCTTACAATGCTGTCTCAAGCACTGGATTCTTCATAGGGTTGAAAAGTTAAAAGTTTATTTAGATCTAGCTAGTGGCATGTGTGTTTCAGTCCCAAAATAACCTCTCTTTTCGAAAATTCTAACCTGAAATTCCCCAACTTCTACAAACTTGTAAAATAACTTTCTGTGTCTGGATTCATTATTTGCATACTTTTTGTAAAGACATTAATATCTTTCTGAAACATCTGCAGAAATATTTAATGTTATTAATGGAAAACTCAGGTTGAACACATGCTTGAAACCTCAGTCTGAGAAAATTTTCTCTCAAGTGGAAATTCACCCTGCAGACAGCTTCCACACCTCACAGACTTGCCAGCTTTTTAATGCTTGATAAAGGAACGTAGTATTTATATGACTCTGTTTGGTTGAACTTGGGTTTGTATTTGCTTTTGGTACTTTCCCAGAACGCTTCACCGTGTTTGTTTCTCTTTTATTTTCAGTCTCTCTTTCCCAATTCGGAATCCTTTCTGTGTCCATGTTTTAGCTAGCAAGGGATTTCACTGCTTCATACAACCATCTTTTTTACATTTAATACTTAACACTGTTACTTGTTTTCCTAATTTTTGTAAAAAATTTGTGTGTATCGGTGGGATTTAGAGGCTTCTGAAGGTAATCCTTAAAATGTCCAGGGTTCTGTTGATTTAATTTAGTTCAGACACTTGGGACAAGCTTTTGTACTACCATTGAGCTGCTATTAATTAATTTAACAAGTCCATTGCAGAGATCACAGAGTAAACACACAACAATTTTAGTTGTGATGGGAGCAAGGATTACCTGGTGCGGAGTGCACTGAGATGTACCTGCTGGGGACAGCCCAGGTGTCCAGCAGCGAAGATGGGGGAGGGAGGAGCAAGCTTTGGTACCTGGCTAGTTCTGGAGCTGCTGTTTTGTTCTCTGCACCAGGGTATGGTTACGGGCACAGAGCAATGCCAAAATGCTGCTGCAGTCTACAGAGAGATGCCAAGAGAGCAGTTGTAACAACTGGTGTATGTCCATGTCAGACTTGTTCTGCCTGAAGCTTGATTTTAGTCTATTTGTACTCAGTATTTTAGGAATAATTTGGTTTGAATTGGAAGTCAAAACTTGGTCCTTTATCCTTGGTCAGTTTTTGTAGTTTAGAGATTAAGTTTAGGGTTTTTTTTCACTATTGATAATCAGACTCCACCCCCCTCCCAATTTGTCCCCACAGAAACACACACTGCATCTCAGTGTGTCTTTAAATTGCTGTATTTTTTTGGTGTCAGTTATTATATCTTTTGAACTTTGGTACATTTTCAGGAATGTAAATTGCCTTGCTACTACATCCATCCTCCATTGTTGGAATTATGCATGGATGAAACATTTATCTCTGTGATGTTATCAAATACTGTGGTGATCTGAGGCATTTACATTGTTATAAGGAGATAACATGGTGTTACATTAGTAATGTTCCCATTGCTGGCATAAGTTGCAATGTAATTTCCAAGAAATACCCTGCAGGTACATAAATAAGTCATGTCATTTCTGAGTGCATTCATTTTGCATGACAAAAAGCTTAAATTCACACTGTCCTTAAAACTTCAGGCATGGTTATTGGGAAGAATAACTCAAATATAAGACCAGGTATAATTTTTGCATAGAGGTTCCAGTCTTTGTTAGGACTCACAGACAGTGTTGAACAGACACGAACCCTTCCTTTTGGAGATGGGCCTTTTTCTGTTGGATCAGGGTTTCCGCATTTTCATCTTGGCAGTACACCACATTACACCTTGTTGGCATAAACAAAGATCACTGCAGTTTTGGTAGTAGAAAGTCTGTCATCTTCTCTACTATGCCTAGATAACAGTAACTCATACAAAAAGTTTCTTTCTTCAGGCTAAATGGACACAGTAACAGAAAGAACAAAGGTGGAAGAAGCTCAGATATTTTGTTTGGAGTAGGGGTGTATGTAGGTGCATGACTTGGTTCATTTCCACCTGCTGAAAGATTTAGAAAACTTCTGGAGCAAGGCGGTGGTACATTTTCTTAATAGGTACCAACTCCCATTTGTATCCTTGCCCATCAGAAGTATAAATATGCACTGATTGCCCAAGGTAATACTTTGATGAAAGTTCAGGTGGGTTGCAGTAATTGTTTACAGGAGTGTAGATACCTTGCACAACTTTGGAAGGAGTAAATCAGATAAAGCCATGCTCCCTGTTTGCTTTTTAGCACAACTCCTACAGAAATTTAAAGGACACTTCCCCAGCAGCTCTAATTTCAGTGTGGTTTAGGGAGGCGGTGTGATTCAGCGGGCTGGACATGGGTTTCCTCATTTGTAATGTTATATATTATTACTTAAACCTGCTCTGAGAACTGTAGGCAAAAAGCTGTCGTTCCTTTGAAAAAGAGATTATTGTTCCTGGGACTCAAACAAAAATGACTGGATTGAGTATCTCCATTTAGTAAAATTCTTTGAGGTCATCTCTTTGAAGAGAGGCAGGTGGCCAACTTTGGACTGAGGAATCTCAGCTGGAAGTCTTGAACCTGAGCAAATATGCTTAAATGTTCATAACTGAATTGAACTACTGGCTAGTAGTTGAAGGTGTACGATAAATTATAGACAATTTTTAAAACATTCACCCGGGTGATGGGGAGAGGGGTTTTGGCCTAGACATTTTTCTTTGGCTGAAAAATGAAGACTGACTAGAAATTATGTCTCTGAATCTGCTTACTCTAATGGATTGTGAGATGCTCTCCTAAGAAATGTAAGAAAAGAGATTATGTATACAGTCCTTGCCTGTTGGATCTGGGCTCTATCAAAGATGCAGAAGATGTGCACTGCTTGCTGTTAATGAATGTGGCTAACAAGTATGCAGTCATTTGCTTTTCCTCTGTTTGAGTTAGAGCTGCAGGCCTTTTTTTTATTGTGCATTTTTCAAACCTTGGTATGGGGATGAAGGTCTTCATTTCTGTATGAGCTCTTCATCACGTCAACACTCTATGACTCAAAGATCTTAACTGGTATTTGCTGATGGAGACGCAGCAGAGGCTCAGGGTCCTGGTTCCAGCCTGAGCTGCCCCTACTGAACACAGACTCTTTTGCTTGCTTTTCCAAACATCACTTTTTTTTTTTTCTCTGTTGCCTCCAAAATTATCATTTCCCAGACTTGTCTCATCCTTGGGCTAGATCCCCTTCTCCAAGTTTTAATTGCTCTGCCACCATAATGCCCCTTTCCGTGCTTCCACTTGTTGCCCAGTCTATCTGAATCTCTCTTTCGCAAGTGTCCGTTTCTGGCCCTTCTCACCATATTCCCCATTTCCTTCTGCTCTCAGTCCTAGCCTGTCATTTCAGGGGCAGCTGGGCCAACATAAATAGCTTGCCCCTGCCAAAAGGGAGGAGATCATGTGCTTTGTCTTCTTTTCACTTGTCCACTTCCAGACATACAAGATTCCTCATCTCAATTTACTCATTTCCTTCCTCACTGTGCTGGCTTCTTTCTCTTTTTTATTGGCTTAGAAAAACTCTTTCTCTGTTAAATAGTACTTTTTGTACTGAACTGTACAAAAGACATAGTTTTGTGATTGTTTCTTTTGTCCAGTGCCTGATTAAATAAGCGGCTGCCCTCTCTCCTCCTCTTGGTCCTCACCCCTCCTCTCCTGTGCTGGCACAGATGCCCCTGCAGCCACGTTGGGAGCTGTACTGGGAAAACAGTCTTGGTTGGAAGTAACCCAGCCCCAGTAAAAGGCTCTTCTCTCAGACAGGGCCACCACACAGATTTGGACTGATGGAGCTGAAGGGCTGGTAGGAAGCCGGTGATGAGAGCTTGTGTAAATGCTGGTGTGCCAAAAATGTCATAGTGAAACTTCAGTCCTCATTTCCTTCCATGTTTCAGTTCCCAGTCTTGCCCCAGTCAGCGGGACTAGGAGCAGCCACAGAAATGAAAGTCCTTCGGAGTCCTTGCAGTGGAGAGCAGGGCTGGCAAGAGGAGCTGAGTCTGCAGCTCCGTGTGCTCAGTCTTTGCAGCAATACTGGCTTAAGGAGTTTTCCCTCCTCATGTTTTCAGTATATTCCTGCCTCTCTGTGGTAAGCTTGATCAGTTTGCTGCTCTAGATGAAGCGTATTCCTCCTCTCCTTCACCCTTCAACCTGTTTTGCTTGGGATTTTTTTAGCCCAGATGAATGGGTCCAGTTTACTCTGCGGCCGTATCAGTGAAACGTGTAGGGTGAGAATGAATATCCAGGGTGGGAGGAACATCCCCTGTAAACTGGAACTGGCTCCTAGAGAGAGTTGTGAGGCCACCCACGCCGCTGTGACCCCAACAGTGACACGGAGAGGGTAGCAT